CAGAGTCAATATCAACTTCACAACGAAGGATATTGAACTCCAGACAACGCAAGTTCAACTTCACGACGAAGGGACCGCTGGTTGTCAACAAACATTTCTCAAATTCAGAGCCAATTTCAACTTCACAACGAAGGGTATTGGACTCCAGACAACGCAAGTTCAACTTCACGACGAAGGGACCGCTGGTTGTCAACAAACATTTCTCAAATTCAGAGCCAATTTTAACTTCACAACGAAGGATATTGGACTCCAGACAACGCAAGTTCAACTTCACGACGAAGGGACCGCTGGTTGTTAACAAATATTTCTCAAATTCAGAGCCAATTTCAACTTCACAACGAAGGATATTGGACTCCAGACAACGCAAGTTCAACTTCACGACGAAGGGACCGCTGGTTGTTAACAAACATTTCTCAGTTCCAGAGCCAATTTCAACTTCACAACGAAGAATATTGGATTCCAGACAACGCAAGTTCAACTTCACGACGAAGGGACCGCTGGTTGTCAACAAACATTTCTCAAATTCAGAGCCAATTTCAACTTCACAACGAAGGATATTGGATTCCAGACAACGCAAGTTCAACTTCACGACGAAGGGACCGCTGGTTGTCAACAAACATTTCTCAAATTCAGAGCCAATTTTAACTTCACAACGAAGGATGTTGGACTCCAGACAACGCAAGTTCAACTTCACGACGAAGGGACCGCTGGTTGTCAACAAACATTTCTCAAATTCAGAGCCAATTTCAACTTCACAACGAAGGATATTGGACTCCAGACAACGCAAGTTCAACTTCACGACGAAGGGACCGCTGGTTGTCAACAAACATTTCTCAATTTCAGAGCCAATTTCAACTTCACAACGAAGGATATTGGACTCGGAACAATACTTGGATTTCAACTTCACGACGAAGGATATCCAATTCTCAGGCTCAGCTTCACAACGGAGGGGCCATATACATATACAACTTCACAACGAAGGGTATCGTACCCTAACAGGTTGACCTTACTTTACAATGAATAAGTCATCTGTAACATGTCAACACCAAAGTTTTCAGGTCAAGTTCCACATTCATGGCGAAGTATCTTGAGCCAGAAGACGATTCAGAGGCCATTTGTCAAAAGCTTTGAGCTCATTTCAACTTCACGACGTGGGATTTCGTGTTAAGAGTTTTCCAGTTTAAACTTAACCTCACGGAGATGGAGTCATTTGACAAACCAATCAAATATCGGGTTTCAACTCTAAAATAGTGGACATTCGATATGATCGAAATTTGTGTCTTTTAATCTTTGCTCTATTTTCGTTACACGATAATGAGCAAAGAGGGGCAGCTGAAGACACTAAATTCCGTTATTTAAACGTTATCATATTATATAATATATTATATAATATATTCATATATATATAATATTTACATATTTATTATTTTTTATCTCAGGCCCAATTGGTGCTCAAATACAAACAAGCCCATATGACCCAAACAGGACCGGTCCAGCTAGGGTTTTGGGAACCCTAGCTTCACACACTCCATCAGCACCGTTCTCCCCCTTTGAAGACCCAACGCCGCGCAGCAGTCCCAACTCCCGAGTTTCACGGCCGCACGCCTCCTTTCACGGTCATTTCTCGCATGTTCAACAAGCACAACGACGTGAGTTACAAGGATACATCCACAACCAACCAAGCAGTGATTTAGTCCAAATAAAATGCTAGAAAATCGGGACTAAGACTAGTATTCTTAGACTATAAATACATGTAAATTGAACATGATTGGGGGGAACACACGAGATCACCACGACAGCCCACACATACAAACATTACGAGTGTTCATTAGTGAAATACGAGCAAAGTAACTTCGGAGATCAACATTTTGTAATCGTTTCGTAGCAAAATAAAGGGTAAAAGTTTCGTACCTTTCTTGTTTACTTTGTATGTATGTATTTCCTTCACTCTGGTTTGATTATAAACAACAAAAAACGTTTTGGCCGAGGACCAAGGGGGTTGCTTTCGAAGCTATTTTGCTAGATCTACGCGACCCCGAGGCCCGTTTTAAAAAACTAGTTGGAGTTTTGTAACCTACGCAAGAAGACCTTTCAAAAAAATAAAAGCTTTTTCATTTTCGCCGCCGATGACGGCGGCCAGCGCCGTTCGCGGTGGCCGACGAGGCGGCATGCAGTGGTCGGGGAGTGGGGACTTTAGTTTCGCTCGTTTGTTCTCTAAGTGAAAAAAGGAAGAGTGGAGAAGGTAAGTTACAGAGGAGAGAACGGCGCAAAGAATGAGAGTTGGTATATTAGGAATTTAGGGTTATATTGAGTCGAATTAAAATTAAATAAGTTCAAAGTACTGCCGTTTCATGCTTGTTGGGTTAAGGGTTACATCATTTTCTATCTTTTGGGTTTATTTGGTAAGGAATCATTTCTGTTTGAAAATTAATCCATTTTGGTCCTTGTTTTGAGATTTCTGCATCTTTTGGATTGGGTCCTTTTTTTTATGCGTGTTCTTTCTTAGTCATCGATCACTTGTTTTACCCTATTTTGTTTATTTTTGTTTAAATGTTGGTCTTGTTTGATATCATGAACCAACGACATTTCCAATGTTTCTTTTTATAATATTTGCGTAATGATCAATTATTACTTATTTAACATATTCCATTTATAAGGATTTACGTACTGCTTACATTTATAATACATGTATTCAGCATTAGTTATGAATTATGTAATATATTATATAAATGTACATTCTTTTCCTTTTTTTCATTTTTACTTTATAAATCTAATATTCTTAACTGCTTAAGGATTTTCGTTCAAATCAATCTAAGGTAAGCAATCAGGATCGTTATTTTACCTTTTAAATTAAACTTTACATTTTTCTTAATCAAAGACAACTGGAAATTACGTAGTACCGAAAGGGCAGTTCAAGGGTGCTAACCCTTCCTTGACTGTAACCGACTCCCGAATCCGACACATCTTTGGTAAGACGCAGACCAGGTAAAAAATAGGGTATCCGATCAACCCATTTGTTTTAAAATAAATGATCGGTGGCGACTCCAATCCACATTTTCAAGTCGAAGCCCAATTCCAGGGCCCAACCGAAAGACGGTTACGACAATAGTATATTCAAATGTCATGATTTAAAAGATTTAAATGTGTTCAGACAAATAAATTTTTAAAGGAATTTTGTTTTTATTAATTTAAAAATAAATATATTTGTTTAGGTTAAAAATAGAAAATTCAAAAAATAGTAAGAAGTTTAAAAGGGAATTATAACTTAAATTTCTTATTAAAATTATATCTAAAGATTTTTTTCCCCTAAAACTTATCATTATTTTATTTTATATACATGATTTCGTTACAAAATATAAAATCATTAATCTTGATTGCAATTGGTTTAAAATCATTGTTTGCACTATATATTTTTTTCTTCATTTTTTTTACCATTTTTGCATTGATTTTACGGTCGAAGCATGCTTTTAAGCTAAAAATGCATTTAAAAAAGTCACGTTAAACGAGACCTTAGTAGTTAACGTGTTCGTGTTTACCATCCCTTGAAGTCTCAAGTTCAAGCATCACATATACATGAATATGGACTTTTATTATCATATAATTGAGATTAAGAATTTTTGAATAGATACTATTTTATATTCAACCCGAATTTATTAAAAAAAATCTTTATATTTTGAATTTGGTTTTTTATTCTTCATCTATAAAATTTTAAATCTAATTATTATTTTTATTAAACTTATTGATGTGATATTTCAAAACAAAAATATTATCTTGGCAACCATGTATTAAACAATAAAACATTTTAATAGATTTGAATTTAACAAAAAAAAATTGTAAAAGTGTTGACAATTAGGCTTGAATTTTTAAATCATAAGTCAAGGGACTAAATTCAAGAAAATAAAAGTAGAAGATTAAATTTTAAATATATAGAGTAAAAGAACTTAAAACATATTTTAACCAACATTTTTAGTACGTGTTAGGATTCTCTCTTTTAGATCTAAAACCTAAGAAATTATAGGGTGAAGTACACAAATGACCCCCAACTATAAATTACTACTTTATTAAATTCATCGACTATTAAAAGTTATAAAATGATCATTCGATTATAGAGTGTTTCTTTATAAGTCCCTTGACTCTAAAAATTACAAAATGATCATCCGACTATTTATTATGTTCCAAACTCACCATTTTCTATTAAAAAATTGATGGTATTCTAAACAGAACGTTAACCTACTGACAATTATATAATAAAATTTGACCCCAAAATCTGAAACGACTATCATATCTCAATCATCATGTTAACGTTTAACTTAGACAATTGGTATTTTTCAACGAAATAGGGCTAATTTAGAACATAATGAATAATCATGTTATCATTTTGTAACTTTTAATTGTTAATGAACTTAATAAAACAACATTCTATAGCCGGATGACTATTTTGTAACTTTTAATAATCAAGAGACATAAAAATCAATACCTTATAGTCGAGGGACCATTTGTGTACTTTACCCTAAATTATAATTACTTTTAAATTCACTTGAATCAGTAATCTTTTTATTATTTCAACAATAATGATACCTAGTACATACAAAATTACTATTTGATCCTAAAAATATGATTTAAAAATCAGTGAAATTGTGACTAGTTTTTTTAGGTAAATGCATTTGTACAGCTCAGTTGGTAGAGCACAAGGTTCTTAACCTTGAGGTCGTGGGATCGAGTCCCACAGAGGGCATTTCATAATTCGGAGGTCTTCTACGGAAGCTGCTCTCAACCTGGTATTGGAGACAGCCTACTATCTTACCTCCCCTTACCCCATTATATATGGGAACAAGGGACAACCATAAACCATTTATACTTTAAAAAATATTAAGGCTTGAAAAGGTGAACGTGACAAAATGTAACACTACTGAAAATTCTAAACTAGGTACAATATCAAACATGAATAATAATAATAATAATAATGACAGTCGAAATTCTAACTAGAAAAGGAAAGGTACTTGAAATCAAAATTGTTTAAAGCGAATATGAATACAACAAAGTTAAAGGCAGAAAACTATCATTTAAATTAGATATATCCAATATTATAGCCTAAAAACAAAACTGTTTAGATGCAAAAAAGAAAAGGTTGTCTGTGTTTGCTGATAAGAATGGATATATTTGCTCATACCAGTGCAAATCCCTGACGTCCTCATCGCTTTGACTTGTGATGTCGCTCCTTTCTGTACCGAGACTGGTCAGGATCGAATCCACCTTCCTCAGCTCCATAGACAGCCCATGATGGAGTGGGAGCCATATAATCCTCACTGTTGAAAGGTCTTCCTGAAGCCACCTGCACCAGTTGCAATAATAAACAAAAGGTTTCAGACAAAAATGTTTATACTCTAGAGACACTTCCAATAATGAAACCGACGCTCGTCACTAACCAGGTCATGAAAATTTTCGTAGTCTATCCATGTATGCCACTGGCCATTGACCTTGAACTTCTCTGTTTTCGCCAAGAGCACACAGCATGAGTGTGCATGTTCACATGCAACCTTGTACTCCCCTTCACTTTTCAGAGCCAATGCCTCCGAGAAATCCCTCACATCAGAATGCCATGGCACATTCTCCATTGTCAACTTTGATGTGGCAGAACTGTGAGAAATATCAACACAGCTAAGCAAGGCCTGGTGGTGTGGCAGATAAAAGTAATACTACAAATAACAGTGCAACCAATAGACTTACGATCCACAATATGTTACGCCTTTGATTTCAACAAAATCAGGCTTCCCAATGCTAAAGAGTTTAAAATAAGCATCTACATCTTCTGCATTCCATCCTTTCACAAGTGTCAAGCGGTATACAGTTCGTTGGTGTTTCTCATCGAGAGTTTTCAAGGAATCCTGAATAACAGATGTCACCAATAACTAATAAGAAAATGAGAACTGCAGGCCACCGAAAGAAAAGCCCTCTAAAGTACCTGGAATCATGTAAAGTGCTAAATAGTACAAGCTACCACAAAGATGAAGCAGTTCATTCTTACAAAAAGTAAAGAGCCACTAACAAGTTTGGGATTTTTAACATTGCTTTTCAGTAGAAATAATGCAAACAGAAAGCTCTTCGATTTGGGATTTAAGGAATCTTGAAGCAGGAGCCTTTGATATTTATTAATAATAAGACATTATGGACAGACAACGTATAAGACATCAGTAGGGTTTCAATCTAAGTCTAGGATTATTAATTATCTTCAAGGTTTCAATCTAGGGCTCAGATTATAACCTTATTAGTAACCCTAGTATAAATATGTTGTAAAATATTTACAGCCACAACTTTATTACTCCTCAAATTATCAGAAAGAAACTAGAGGAATTTTCTTGGGTTCCATCCATCTTATTCATTGTTCAGTCATAAACCACATATGCTGTTTTACGGCTGATTTTCTCATAAACCACATCAAATCTACCAATATGTTATTCATAGCATGGTAAGGGAAGCTATATAGCTTACCGATCAAGATTAGTTCAATACTCCCCAGTCCCCATGAACCCTGCTAGTCTCTAGATTCAAGAATTTTGACGCCTGCCATTTTTCTGCTTCATCTGTCTTCTCTGACAATCATTTCTATTTGTCTAAAGAAATTTAAATTTTATTTCTTTCTTAATTCTTAATGTTTTAGCTCAATATTTAGTTTCCAAGAATAAAACACTCACAAGGAATCTTTCCCAGAAGTCCCCAAAGAGTGGTCTATCAATTGCTTTCAAGCTATCCTTTGTTGCAGCATCGACACTCACATATAACTGCATGAATAAAAGACATCGGCTAGGTTAATCAAGAACAGAAGAATTTTTTGACATTCATACTTAAGATAAATCCACACCAAAAGACCTGGGTTATGGGCTTCAGCGATTTAATTTTTTCAGGGAACTGTGCATTAGTAACTAGAAATGTAGAGATTCGCCTTCGATGCAGCTCATCCACAAGCTCATTAATTTCTGGATACATAATTGGTTCACCAACAAGTGATAAGGCACAGTGCTGAGGGGATAAACCTTCCATCAATTTCTCTTGTGTAACCCCTGAAACAGTAGAGTGAGCAAAAAACCTCCTGTTAATGCAATGAAAGATCTTTGTCGCAACCATGTCTAAGAATCTAATTTGTACTACCATAAAGGAGGTACATGGACTAAATTGGATGTGGCAGAACATAGTAGAATAAAACGTTAAACCACAGGAAACCCCGTGGTGAAGGGAAAATATAACTAGAACAAGTATATGACAATTACCAGGAACTCCTTTCATTTGCTTAATCATCTTTGTATGAAGGTCTATGGCAGTATTGACAATCTCTAAGGGATCATCCATCTTCCACTGCCAACTCTTTCCTACTGGATTCGTATGATGCCTCCAGCAGAAAACACATTTATTGGCACATGCCAAACTAGGTGTAGCTTCCATGCATCTGTCAAATTCAAAAGTGAAACAAATTTCATTCCCAGATCAATGGCTGCAGTCAAAAAGCAAAGAAGGAACAAAAAACATAAAACAATGTACTAAGTAAATTATATAATGAAGTTTCATTGCTACAAACTACATAAAATGATCAAACTCAGTGTAGCAGAAGTGCATGAGATCAACTAACAGCAAATTACAGACTAAGATGATTGTATATTTCCTTGTTTCCACCTCAAGTTAGTTGAGGGTGCAAAAGGAAAGATGATATTTCTGTAAGCATAAGCATGGCATTGGTTTCTCCTCGTAGCCTAGTCAAGGATCAGAAAATATTGGCAAGAGATTTAAGTGATGAAAAGTGTAACTAAATCTAAAAGCTGGAATAAATATGCAAAATAAAGGGCGCTAAAACCATATGAGTCACACAACACTGAAAATAGAATCAACCACATATCCGTCAAAGGCGTAATAGGTGCATAAGAAAAGTTTCAATCACCTATGACTCTCTATTCCATAAAATGAGTGCTTGTAGCAACCTCCTCGTCCTCTAAGTTGAGACTTGGTCCATCTACAGATTTTCACACCACTGTGTGAACCAATAATCTTATATCCCTGTAAATTCCCACCAGTTAAACAATGTCATTTACCTGTTTCTTTAAAACAAAAGATCCATATCCACTAAAACAAAGTTACCTGTTTCTCTAAGTTAGCCCTGATAACTGGCGTCACCATCTCTCTTTTCCCATCCAATTTCCCATTAGTTTCAACCACATTAACCGATTTCTTTCTCGATGGCCCTTTACCTGCTATATCTTCAAGATCAACAATGTCTCCCCCTCCTCCACCACCACCATCATCATCACTTTCAAGGCTATCAACATCACTCTCGTAAACAATGTCGTTGTGATTCTCCATAACTAATCCCCCTTTCAAAACGGTAACCACCTTTTGACCCCACTCTTCAAAGAAGCTCTCCAATGCACCTCCATCTACGTCACCTTCCCCAACTGGCACCATCTCCGTCGCTCCCAACCCTCTCAACCTCTTTCCCAAATCCCTCGCCACCGCATTGAACGTGTCTCCGTAAACCCGGCTACCGACTCCAAAGACAGCAAATTTACAATCTGAGAGTAACAAACTCCCGGCGCGAAAATCGGTGCTGATTTCGGCGAGCCAATTGACGAAGAATTTCGAGTTATGAGGAGGATTTCCATCTTCCCAGGTGGAAGCTATGATAATGATTAGGGATTCCTTAGGTAGATCCTCGGGTTCGTAATTTTGGGGATCGACGAGCTCGAAAGGGATGTTGTTGGAGGATAAGACTTTAAGCAAGCGTTGGGCTAGGGCTTTGGATGTTCCTCTTTGGGTAATAAAGAAAAGCTTACCTTTTCTAGGGTTAGAGTTTAAAGGAAGTTGCTTGAAGGGTTTTAGGCGACGGCGGGATTTGTAGAGGAAGTAAAAGGTGGAGGCGGAAAGGAGAGTCAGAAGGGTTAGGTGTGTCGAGAGTGAGGACGGTGCCATCTTTCGAGTTTATTATTTCCTTGTTCACCGTCGGGGCTTTCAGCGGGTTTTAACCGAAGTGGGAGTCTAGAGGCGTTCGTCGTTGGTGGTAAAATGGAGGAAGAAGACGGCGATATGGTAAGCTTGGGCACCAACATGGAGAGAGATCGTGAGCTAATCAGAGTTTATTTTGAAAAGCATATATTTTTTTGGGTACAATTTATAAATGATCACTCGTGTTTTAAAATCTTTACATTTCCATCATTAATGTTTGAAAAATTATGATGATATCACATCACAGTTTTTATATCGTTAAATCTCATTAATAATAAAACGGCAAGCTGCGTTGAATTCAACGAGTAATTCTATGGTAGAGGATGAAGTGTAAGATAATTTAAGTTCGGGTGGTTTAAGATGTGGAATTATCACGCAGTAGTCTTAATATACAGTTAAAGAAATATGTTATTGATTTTGTTATTATTTTTTTAAATATTTTTGGTAAAAATTATTTAAAACATTATTATTTCTACCGATTTTATTATTATTGAACGTGTTACCGATTTTATTAACATATCTGATAAAACACTACCTAAAATATTATTTTTCTACCAATTTAATAACAAAACCGATAGTGTCTTTCTTTAGTCGTATATTAAGACTGTTGCATGATAGAACTCCTCGTTTAATATGATATCAAATAAAAAATATTATCCTCTAAAACTATACTAAAAATCATTAATATCATTTTTTACCACCGATATTAAAAAAAATAAAACATATAAATAGTCATTAAATCATGTTAAAATAATCTATTTAATAAATATAATAATAATTTTATAATTTTTAAATGCATAAAGAATATAAATAGCCCCCAAACCTTTAGGGCACTTGTATTTTAGTCACCTAACTTTTAAAAATTGCAATACAATCATCAAACTTTTAGTTCATTTTCAGTAAGGTCTTTGTCGTTACATTCCGTCAGTTTTTGCTAACCTGACACTTAACTCCTATTAAACCTCCCCTTCTTATTCTTCTTCTTCTTCTTCTTATCCCGTTCACCCTACCTCCAATCAACGGTGCCTCACACCACCATCACCATTGTCACTGGCATCACCTCCTAACCACACCCCAACTCTCGATTCATACTCACCGTTTATCGTTCGTCCCAAATTGCGAGAAGACTCCAACACCTCTTTTTTGTTTTTAACCAACGAAGAACAAAAGAAGGACGATGGCGAGGAGGCATGACCGATTGAGTTTTGGTCAAAACGATGTAAGGACTCCAACGGTGATTGTGGTGTGGCAAACGGACAACCCAATTGATCGAAGATTGATGAAAACAAAAGGGACATTGGGGTTTTTTGACAAGATTTAGGGCTCTCTCCACAACGAACGAAGGTGAGTCTCGACAAGTGACTAATATGGTTTTGGTTAAAGATAGAGTGGAGCTTCTTCTAATATCGGCGGTGACGTTCACCAACAACTGACGTTGGAGATCGGGGTGTTCGAACAGTCTTCTCAAATTTTGGGATGAATAGTGGATGATGAGCATGAATCGGGGGTCGAGGTGCGATCGGGAGGCGACGTCGATGACGATGTGATGGTAGTGTGTGCCACCCCTAACCGGAGATAGGATGAACGGGAATGGGAGAAGAAGAAGAAAGGGGCTTAACTAGAGTTAAGTGCCACATCAGCAAAAACTAAACGGAGGTAACGGTAAGGACCTTACTGAAAATGAAATAAAAGTTCAATGATTGTATTGCAAGTTTCAAAAGTTGGGTGACCAAAATACAAGCACCCTAAAAGTTCAGGGACTATTTGTATTCTTTACCCTTTTTAAAATTTCAGTGATCAAAATTTTCATTTCTACATATTTTAGTGATCATTTATGTACTTTATGAAAACTCTAAGCATTTTTTCTCACTTTTATGCTCACTTGCATCCTACTCGCCATCTTCATGCAATTCTCTTAAAAAAAAAGGACAACATTTTCTAGTTCTAAGGCCATTGTAAACAACATGAATTTGGAGAATTTGCTCGTATCATTAGATTTCTAGCAAAGAAACGATCGACAAATGCTGGAACAACGAAGCAGACACATGAGAAATTTGAACAAAATTTACAACATAGATCAACTCACATAACATATGCATTTTTTACAGTTTTCCATGCTCCACCAGTTCCAAAGTACGAAAGCTTCTGCAAAATTTCCGGGAATAACATAATGCCATAAATCTACGGTTACTAAGGGGAACCGCCATCGTCATACTTCGAGGCAGTCCTTCACCCCCTACTCAAATTTGTCAAGAGAAGATAAGGTATTCTTGAGTGCATCTGCAACCCTTTGTTTGTGGATAGAAAGAAATAATTAACTTATTACTTGCAAATGCAAGTAGTCAACAACAGCGTTATTTGGTAATGGTAAAACAAACAAACACAAATACATGAAAGTGTAAAAGCATGCCTATTGGAAACAACTTGGATATCACTTTCATTTACCAATCTATTAAGTGAGGTAAATGAGCTGCCAAGAAAGAAAATTAACAATAAACATTAACAAAGTAAGCATAAAAAAATTACGACTGAAGTAAATTCGAACAGCACTTGACAGGAAAACACATGAAGGGTTATTTCTGAATCCGACAGGCATTGGATCTCAGGGTGACCTAAGGAAAATGACCAAAAAAGTGCTTTGAAATTATTCGGATATCAATGTTCTTCCATCAAACATGAAAAAGAAGACTAACAATAAGCATCCGAGTAGCATTGGATCTTAGAAGACTCAAGTAAAATGACCAATAATGCTTCTAAAGTATCTAGATATCATTGTTCTTCTAACAAACACCCGAAAAGCAAAACATGATACAATGCATGCAGAGAAAGAAATTCCTTTGCCAAAATATTAAGGTCAACAAGCCGCCGGAGAAATAACAATAAGCATAAGAAACCATGCAGGTTAGCTAATAGATTATGAATATGACGGTAGTAAAACGAATTAGCACCAGACAGGAAAATACATGAAGGGAAAATTCCGAATCCGAAAGGCACTGAATCTCAGGGTAACCTAAGGAAAATCAAATGCTTTAAAATTATCTGGGTATCAATGTTCTTCCAACAAAAACCCAAAAGAAGACTAACAACAAGCATTCAACTTGCATTGGATCTTAGGAAGACTCAAGTAAAATGACGAAAAATGATTTAAAATTATCTGGATATCAATTTTCTTCTAACAAACAACTGAAAAGCAAAACAGACTACAATACATGCAGAGAGAAATTATTTTGCCAAAATATTAAGGTCAACAAACTGCTGGAGAAATGACAAAAAAGCACACAAAAGAAAAACTATGCAAACTAATATATTATGAATATGATGGGGAGTAAAAAAAAATTACGGCTTGACAGGAATATACATGAAGGGAGAATTCTGAATCCTGCAGACATTGGGATCTTGGGAGACTAGAGGAAAACTACTCAAAGTGCTATAAAATAATTTTGACATCGAGTTCTACCAACAAACACCCCAAAAGCAAAACATGCTTCAATGTATGCAGAAAAAGAAACTTTTTCGCCCTTTCATTCAATATTTACAGCCAGAATTGAAACTAAAAATTACTCTGATATTTTACATTTTCAAATTTCAAGCTTAATGGGACCATAACGCAGATACCTTATAAGATCATCTAGCATAGCTTCGGCTTCCAGCTTAACAGGATTCTTCTTCTCAAGCAAAGAATAAGCATTCTTCACAATCAAACGGTATGTGCAAACCTGTGGTTTATAACCAAAACATGGAGTTCATTTCCACCTCTTTGATTTTGTTCCAACTTCAAATTTAGTGAATAAAATTAGAAAGATGACAGTATCTACATATTAACTTTGATGTAACAAAAAGCCTAAAAAGTACTCATTTATAATCAATGGCTGCGTAAGAAATTTCGATTTCATTCTAAGGACAAGAACAAACCTCGACTCCGGTGTTGGCTTGAAATGCGACGAAGGAATTCCTTTCTTGTACAACACAATCACTAGCGGCAGATTTCAAGACCTTTTGAACTTCCTCTAAATGCTTACTCGAATTAGCTGATTCATTGTCTACTATTTAAAAAAGTTCAAAACAACCAAAATTAATCAAAGGAACACAACAAACAGATTCAAATAACTACAGGAGAACATAAAAGATAAATAGAAATGTAATATACTGAGCAAAAGATAAGCAGAGCGAAGGTTTTCTCGAAGCATCGATTGGAGCTAATAGAAACTTGGAAGACTTTCTCTTTTGCTCTTTAAGCCAATCCTTTGGTCCTGCTGCGAATAGCAACAAACACTCAAGTAGCAGTTAATAAAAGAAGAATAAACAAAATAAAGTGATAATTGCTCACAAATTCCAATGAAGAAAGCAGAATTAAAGTGTTAAAAAAGCACAAGTAAAATACACAAAACTATAAAATATTTTTATCAAGTTTATTAATTATTAAAAATTATAATTTTTTTTAAAAATATAGTAAATTGTTTTGTTAAAAAATTTACTAGTAAATTATAAAATGACTATTTAGTTATTATTATGTTCTAAATTCGTCTATTTTTGTTAAAAATTTAATAACAATGAGATGTATATTAATTTGATAATTGAGATATGATAAAATTTAATCTCATAATCTTAAATGATTATCATATTTCAGTTAATACATTAACGTCAAACTCATACGATCATTATTTTATAATGAAAAAGAAAGAGCTTAAAACTTAATGAATATTTAAGCGATCATTTTGTAATTTTTAATAGACAAGTGTCAACACACCTTTTCGTCCGGGTACAATACTCTCAACAACTCCGATTTAGTTGAATTCAGAAAACAAACATAATGTTAGAGTTTTACTAAGGATTCAAACTCCTAAAAATAAGATAAAGTTTTACTATGATTCAAACTCCTAAAAATATGATAGAATTTTACTATGATTCAAACTCCTAAAAATATGATAGAGTTTTATTATGATTCAAACTCCTAAAAATAAGATTCATAAGCATTATAAATAGCAATTGTAACTCAGTATTGTAACACACAATTGATAGACGAAATACGAACATAAAATTTGGAGCATTCAAAACATTTTTTTTTTGCAAAGTTTCAAATGCAACAAAAGTAAAAAACCTTACCTTTTTCGGTTGTTAGGCCTGCATGTGTCATTTGTTTTTTGCTTTCGATTTGTAAAACAAAAAAAACTCAAAAGACCGATGACTGAAGGATTTTTTCTTAAACTAACTTTTTAGATCTACGAAACCCCGAGACTATTTTAAGAAAGTCGTTGGGACATTTGGAAAGAGGAGAAGAAAAACTTTAAAAATTTTAATTTTTTTATACTTTTTTCTTACTACTACTATTATTATATATACTTCATTATCATTATTATATTTTATATGTTTTATTTTGTTTTATTTTTTTAATTTATTATTATTTTTTAAAATATTTTATTTATATACATATTCATTATATTTTTTTTATCTTATTTTATTTCATTTCTCTACCATTATTATTATTTTTTCTCTCTATTATTTATCTATACGTATTATTATTATAATATATATATACATTTTTCCATTTATTTTTTATTTGTTGCAAATATTATATTTATTATTACATATATACATATATTTTATTTATTATTCTTATACCATTCTATTTTTATTTTCTTTTAATGCTCTTTACTTACTATTTTTATTTTTATTATTATTCTTTTTTATTTATTACTATTTACCTTTTTTCCCTCTATTCCATCTTTATGTTTACTCCTTATCTTTATTTTTTTTATCTTCTTTACATTTATTTTATTTATTTGTATTTTTTTCTTATTTTTTATTATTTACTCGTTTATTATGTATATATTATTATCATTATTATTCTTTTTTTTCTTCATTTTATTTTTCTTATCGTATTCATGTTTATCTTCATTCTTTTTTTTATTCCTTTATTTCGGTCGTTTTTTATTTTCTTTATTCTATTTATTTTTCATTTTTTTAACTAACATGTTTTTTGACTCTCTTAAGGGTACACCTTTAAAACTATCTAAGGTAAGTAATTGAGATCGTATTTTTACATTTTAATTTTAAATTACATTTTTCTTAATTGAAAACAACTGAAAATTGCGTAGTACCGAAAGGGCAGTTCAAGGGTGTTAACCCTTCCTTGACTGTAACCGACTCCCGAATCCGACATATCTTTGGAAAGACGCAAATCAGGTAAGAAATAGGGTATCCGATTAACCCATTTATTTTAAAATAAATGATCGGTGGCGACTCTGATTCGTTTAATCCAAATCGAAGCCCAATTTCGGGCCAACCGAAAGATGGTTTCGACAACAAGAGACTCAATAAAGTAGTATCATATAGTTTAGGGACTATTTGTATACTTTACACAGAAATCAATTATATCTAAAATTCTTTTTTATTCAATTTGATTTTTTTTGAAATATGGTACTTTGTATAATAATCAAGAACAAAATACACCACCTCAAGGATCTCATTAAAAAACCTCCTTAACCCTAAATGTAGGGAAAAATGTACCTTGAGGTGGAAATGAAAATAAACAAGAATAGCTAAACCATCAAATACTAGGCATACCCCAAAGCACAACCCAACTCATACAAATACGAATACATGCCAAACAACAGTGAGCAAAACGAACCAACAAGACAGCCAATACTGATATAAGGCATTATTAGCCATTATTATATATATGTGAAAGATAATATTATTAAATTTAAGATAAATTATTATATAATTATTTACTTATTATTTAATTTTAATTTTAATTATTTAAAAATTATATTTAACATTATATTTTTATTCTCTTTATTTATTGTCCTTTCAATTTCAAGACTTCACTTTAACTAATTTAAATTGACCTACGTTGCATACCTACTTTTATTTTAATAGATGAGTCTCCTTACATAAATTTTTATTCTCTTTCAATTATAAAAAAATCTATCTAATTACAGGTAAAAAAATATAAAAATCTTTTTAATTTTTTTAGTTTTGAAAAAAAACAATCATGTTGATTGCACGTGCTTTAAAATAAAACGGGACACTACTCCAAAGTCCAAACTGTCTGGAAAGCCGAAGCTTTAGATTGTGAAGTAAAACCCTAGAAAAAGATCAAAGAATAACCTATCCCTCGATTGATCAATTGGACGATCCAAACGTTCGATACAGGTACAGCCCTTTATATCAATTGAAAGAATCCCCGATTTTCACTAGCTATTCTCTTTGATCAATTTATGGTTTTTATGTTCTTAAATGGCTCCGCAATTTAATTTCTGTTTACTTATTAACATTTGATAAAATCAAATTTGTTTGATATTTCCACCAGGTGTATTTGATTGCAAATTTTAGATATGTTTAACATTGCAACAACGTTCTGCAGAAGGGTAAGCGTGAAGGAGCTTGTTACCAGCGCTCCTGTGTACGGCACAATTACGGATATTCTTCATTGACACGAGTTGTTTTGTATGTTTTTAGCATTTATTTAATTTTTTGAGCTAATTTCGTGGAATTATTTCCCCTTTTTTTTGGTAAGACGAGTCTTCTTCTAGCTTAAGTTTGATGCTTAAGAGGTGGGCTAGTAAGAAGATTGCTGGATCAACAAAGAACGGAAGAGACTCGAAACCCAAGAATCTCGGGGTGAAGAAGTTCGGTGGCGAGGTCAGTGGATGATCCAGATTCAAATGCTTCCATTTTAGTAATAGTAGATACTAATATGATATGATTATTGACATTATTGTGGCAGAGGGTGATTCCTGGAAACATGAACCCGATTCCATCCCGGAAACTATGTCGGGATTGGGAAAGATCATACTTTCTTTGCTCTCAAGGAAGGTTGTGTGAAATTCGAGACACATAAGCTTAGCGGGCGCAAATGGGTACATATTGAACCTAAGGGACATGTCCTTCACCCTCTTAATGCAACTGCTGGTTCAGTAGAGCTGAAGACGGCGACATAAGAGTTGATCCATAGTTGTTTGTTTAGGCAATCAAGTTTGCAATTTCCATGGTGATATTGGTTATTCAACTACCAATTGTATCCAAGGATTTCGGGAGATGCACATTAAAAGAACCATGAGGTTTTGCTCCCCAGTGTTTTGTTTACCACAGTTCTTGCTTCAGTTTCTTTTTTGTTATTCGTCTCTTTTCAATGATTAACCTTTCAATGGTCTTTTAATGGAGTGGTGGTGTTGAGATGCAAATGGTTTTTGTTGGAAATTTACTGTGTTGCCAAATGTTTGAATCACTAGATTTGGAGAATTCGCAATGAAAAATACAGCTAATGTGTTTCTTGATTGCTACTAACAAAATGTGACCTTAAAATGCTGCAAGGGGACTTAGCCTTTTACAATTTTACACTCTACTACATGTTCCGATATGTGAGAGATTGCTAATTACAATGAAAAATTTATGCTTGTAACAATTGACTGCAAACAAGCTTTTGAGTTTTGAATTTATGAAGAATCTTGCTGGATACAATCGGGACTCTCGATCTCTTCATGGCTGAGCTCAGCCAGCGATGCATCAGATTGGATCGCCTTCTGGCTGGTAGCTTCCCTTCCAAATAACTTTAGATCTCAAAGGGTGCACACTTGGGGAAAAACCTGTTGGGATACAATGGTTGAGCAGGCACTTAAAACAGTTGGGATTAACAGCCAACATTCATTTCAGCTAGTTCTCGTCTAAAGATTCAGTGTCTTGTGTTTCTGGTTCGGGGAAAACGTCATTCGACAACCTTTTATGTGACTAAGAGTGTTCAATTCCCTCACTGCCAAAAACCACTAAAACCCTCTCTGTTTTGGTGGCCTGGAACGGTGGCACTTTCCAATGAGCTCTTTCGCCAACTACCAAAGAAGGCAGAACCCCAAGATCGCCTAGACGATGTTGTTCGTAGCCTCCCAGAGCTGAAACTCTCCTCCCTTACTACTTTCAAAGGGTTTTCCAATGCTTTAAGAACATGTTTCATCGAGGGTCGTTTAGAAGGCTTCGGGTTAATGCATGACCTTGCTACGATTGCCATGGCCCATACCTCCTCCAATAGATCTTCATCTACTATCAAAGATGGATCCATGATCTTAGTCACCAATTCCTTTTCATATGTACTGATGCAGGCCAAGCTTTGCTCAAGCCACTCCTTTGTAGATGCATCTTCTGCTTTACCAATGCCAGGCTTGCCTGTTATAAGCTCAAGTAACACCTTCCCGAAACAGTAAACATCATAAGCGCAAGTAGTCGACAAAGAGCCTGTCCATTTCCAAACATATATATATATATATATATAAGAATAATATTTCTTTCCAACATGCAGCTGAAAAAACAAAAATAAAAAACTACTGCTATATCTCCTTTATAATTCAGAG